CATACATAGAGAAGTTAGATAAAAATACTCTTGCTAGAAAGTTTGTTACGAATTATACCCGATAGGTCACGCACAGGAACTGCTGCGAATTATACCCGATAGGTCATGCACAGTTTGAGTCTAGGCTGAGGCACACGAACAAAGTCCACAACTGCAGAGTTTCCAAAGATACTAAGTTCATTACGCTCGAGCGTGGTGCCCCCCTGCTAACTAGGAGGGGACCCCGAATGCAGGTTATACAGAGATTATATATCTTTTAGCAAAGCATGTTGCCCTCGTGCATCGGAAACTTTAGCCAATAGACAAACCCTTTTTTAATTTATTATTTATTTTTGCTAAGTGCATTTTTTGTGCTAAACCATTATTTTAACTACACAACATGGTCCTTTTTTATTAGGATGGGAGGCTTACATCAAGGCCAGGAGGCAGGGAGTTAGGAACAGACAAAGAACAGAAACCGGGAGTCGAGACAGGCTGGAAACAAGCGGGGGGTTTTCACAGGAATGCAGTATGTAAGGAACACTCCTCCTGGTGCATGATGTGTTTGCTTTTAGACAATGGTGGGCCCCAAACCAAAATGGAGTCACATATGCTAACTTTTCCTTAACAGGTTGCAATGTAACACTGTTGAGAACAATATTGCACAAGAACCGAGAGAGAGACAGCAAGTTGCTCCTTAAAACAGAGGCACAATTCAACCCACAGCATTCTAGGCTGGTGCTCTGCACTCTGGCTCTGATCACACGCATTTCTACTTAGCCTCTTCACCTGCAAGCAGGTCCAGAAAACCCCTTACAAGTTCAAGTGATCGTTTATCATGTTAACATGGTTTTCAATACCCTTCATTCTCCTTCCCCTCAAGAGCAACTGGGGGCCATATCTTCTCTTATTGCTGGAACCCACCACCCTACAGCAAATGGACTGGACTCAGTCCATACTCTCTGGACTGAGACTCTCTGGACTCAGTGTTGTTGTAGCCTTGTCAGTCCCAGGATAAGAGAGACAGAAGGTGGGTGAAATAAAATCTTTTACTGGACCAACTTCTCTGGGTGGGAGACAAGAATTCACAGCTCTTCTTCAGGTCAGATGTGTGTAAGCTTGAAAACTTGTCTCTCTCACCAGCAGAAGTTGGCCCAATAAAAGATATTACCTTGTCTCTCTGGACTCAGTTTGTTAGAGAAGTGTTCTATATGTAAATAGTTAATGGATGAGATCCCAGTAAGTGGCACCCAAGAAGATGGACTAAAGTTCTTGGGTTTTCTAGGACCAATAATTATTGTGCTCTGGAAATGGCTTCCTCTGGCTGCACTTAACAGCAGCTCCTGTCACAGTTCATATGTCTGGGCAGTCCCAGCCACATCTGGGGTCTGCAGTTGGCTGCCTAGGCATGTGAGTCATGCTGTTTGTACGGCCCCTGTAGACTATTCATGTCTCAAGCACATGAGTAAGCAGACCCTTGAGGTCCTGCGTGTCCTAACCCTCTCTGTAGCTTCCAGAGGGCAGTTGGCTATAGGTGTAATGGCACAAATATGAACATAATTAACATACAAATAAATAGCTCTAGAAGATAGAGCCACCAGATTTGATATATGCTTTCCCTGACATCCCAAGATTAGATGATGGGAAATGACAAAATGGGAAATGACTGCCTAGGAAGGAGTACTGCGGAAAGGGATCTGGCGGTCATAGTGGATCACAAGCTAAATACGAGTCAGCAGTGTAACACTGTTGCAAAAAAAGCAAACATCCTTCTGGGATGTATTAGCAGGAGTATTGTAAGCAAGACACAAGAAGTAATTCTTCCGCTATACTCCGCGCTGATTAGGCCTGAACTGGAGTATTGTGTTCAGTTCTGGGCACCACATTTCAGGAGATATGTGGACAAATTGGAGAAAGTTCAGAGAAGAGTGACAAAAATTATTAAAGGTCTAGAAAACATGATCTATGAGGGAAGATTGAAAAAAAGTGGGTTTGTTTAGTCTGGAGAAGAGAAGACTGAGAGAGGACATAACAGTTTTCAAGTACATAAAAGGTTGTTACAAGGAGGAAGGAGAAGAATTGTTCCCGTTAACCTCTGAGGATAGGAGAAGAGGCAATGGGCTTAAATTGCAGCAAGGGCGGTTTAGGTTGGACATAAGGAAAAACTTCCTAACTGTAAGGGTAGTTAAGCACTGGAATAAATTGCCTAGGGAGGTTGTGGAATCTCCATCACTGGGTATTTTTAAGAGCAGGTTGGACAAACAACTGTCAGGTATGGTCTAGATAATACATAGTCCTGCCGTAAGTGCAGGGGACTGGACTAGATGACCTCTCGAGGTCCCTTCCTTGATTCTATGATATCTAAATATCAAACACTAACAATGACTTGGGCAGCAGACTGATTTGAACATTGTCTTGGAGTATAGGGCCTCAGTCCTGCAAACACTTACATGCTTATATTTAAGCGCACAAATAGCCCCACTGATCTGAATGGACTTTGGATTCAACCAAATATAGATAGTGAAAGTTATGCCATTTTTCTTGATCTAAATTAAGTAAAAGAGTGTGCCCATTTAGCAACAAGCAGTATAATAACACTGCGTGAGATTTGTACCTCCAGGCATTGGAATCCCTCAGGGGATCATTGGCATGGAAAATGAATGAGGCTCAATGGATGGGGTGGATAAAGGCATTGCTTTTGGTTGGATCATATTTACACAAAATCTGTATAATGCTGCTGAAAAGCATTGAATGGAGGCTTGTGATTTGCAGAGTTAAAACAATTTCATTTGCAGGCAGAAAAAAAGCTTTTTTACATTCTTTATCATTGTGATGCCCTGAATATCTGGAGAAACTTTGATAGCTATAGCAAGTGATAAAAAGCATAGAGCAATGAGAATAGGTAGCAAAGCATTCCCTTGCCTTGTGCTGCTGTTTATGGAGATAGTTTGTGATGGGAAGATGCTCAGACAAAGGAATGCACGTGGAGAATTGTAGAACAGTTTGATGGAGGCTATAAATTGATGTCCATAACTAAATTCCTCCTGTACTGCAACAGAATGATCCTAAAGAGCTGCATCAAATACCTTTTCTGTGTCTAATACTAGGATACAGGCTGCTATTGGTTGAGTATTTTAACATGACAAATGTTTTGTTTTTCTAAATTTCCATTATTTTGCACACTTTATTCTTCCCTGCTCTCATTCATGATTGTCATCTTTCCTTTCTCTGCGAGGTTAAAGTCATTGATAATTTTCCTTAACTGACCATGCCACCTCCTCTAGTCTTCACCAGAATTTTAAGCTGACCCTTGAACTCAAATCTTAAACGGCAGTATGTAATGTTTTTACTGTCAGGTTTACTTGAACTTTATTCATCTTGTTTGGTTTTAATTAAGACAGGACAAACATCCTAGTAAAAGTCCAATTATAATTTGCAATTCTGTTAGTCACTGAGAGAAGAGATAATTTATGCTGGCATTTTCAAAGGATATTAGGTGCCCGGCTCTAATTGAAAGCCAATACAAGTTGAATGCCTAATTCTCTTAGCCCCCTGTGAAAGCCCGATCCTAAGTTTTCCAGTCTTAAAAAGCTATCAAGGGAAGATTGCTGACAGACTGAAAGAACATCTGAGTTATCATGTAGAGCAATGCTTCTCAAGCTATCTGATGTGGGGGACCGGCAATTTTTCTCCCAATGTGCGCGCAGACTGGCAGCCGATGGCTCGCGGACTGGCAGCGGTCCGCGGACCACCACTTTGAGTAGCCACAGCTACATTCTCTACATCAGTGCTAAGGAGACAATTGTAACAGGACCTTTCTCTTTGAGTTCCAATTTGGAAGAATGCAACCTCCTTCTGCTTGAGTTTACAAAGGTGTACATTTGGCATGATGATTCACAGTTCCCAAGCAGATATGGATACATAGGGGAAGCCAGTTGTTGAGTGACCTTCCCCATCAGTCCCAATGCCTAACTGGGCCATGAATATTTCCTTGTCCAGTTTTGCTGCAGGAGGTGCAGGGAAATCAAAGTAGTTTGCACAGAATCCCCAGAAGCATGGGGCCCCAGTTTGTTCCTTGTAATTAAGGATGCAAAAACAAGAACTACAGCAATGACTGAATGATTAGTCTGTCTGTGTCTATAACTTTGTCCATGGTGATAGGGTGAGGATGCTGATGGAGGCAGGCATTTACTGTGTGAGAACAGCTGATGTTTTTCAGATCCAAAGGTCTAAGGTGAGATTGCCCAGAGCCGGGCCCTACGTATGTATATATCTGAACTGCTCCTAACAAAGTCATAATGACAAAAATAATGCATGACTGAGATGAAGACCGCTGATGTATCAGATTATGCTGCTAGAAGGAGTTCTCACAGTACATCTAAGGCTGAAGCCTAGCAGGCAATCGGATCTTCTGAGTTGCTGACCTCTCCTGAGAAGCCTCATTTCACTGAGTAGAACATTCCCCTGCTGATCGAGAAAATGTACAGTGTTGCCGACTCTTGCGATTTTACTGCAAGTCTTGCGATATTTGGTGTCTTCCTGAAAGCCCCAGGATCCCAGTGATTATGTGAAAATCTCAAATTTGATTTTTAAAGCAAGTTTCCAGTCCTTAGAGTTGTGCAGAAAAGCTTGAAGCATAAACCTGAAAGGTTCAAACACCAAAATACAAATAAGAAACCTGAAACGTTGTGTTGTTTTGTTTTGTTTTGTTTTGTTTTGTTTTTTTTAAATCTCTCATGATCTTTTTGGGGGCTGACTTGTGATATTGGAAGGGTTGGAGTTGATAATACTGCAAGAAATCATGTCATTTTATGCAGATTTGGGGTGATGAAAGAATTGTTTGCACTAATTACACTATTTACAACCATGTTTGCTTTGTAATATGTTTATTGACCCTGACTCATTACGGAAAATCTGTGCATGTTCATTATTCTAATGAAAATAATCTGTAAAATGTTACCCTCTCATTTTCAGTGTAAATATTTTCTCTCTGGTTGATCTTTTGTTTCTTTTTTTTTTAGTTACACCAGCAGAGTTGTTTCCAATGGACTTAAGGCACAAATTAATAACCCAGAATTGAAAGTCAAAGGATTAGACCCTCTCATCAGTCATTTAATTGACAGACTTCATCATTTTAACCAGGTAAGTAAGTCTCTCATTTAAAAGTTTTTCCACATTGGGTCTTAGAAGGGATCTGAAAGTAAAAACACTGGGATATATTGTATGCTATACTGAAGCACAGAACCAAAAGAACAGCACAGTGGAATGGTGGTAAACTGGTGTATAAACTACTTTTGTGCCTTGGGAGCTGGTCTAATTTATGGCACCCTTCCCACAGCTGTCAATGGCCTGCTCTGCAATCCAGAATTCCTGTAGTGCTGAGGACTGGGGAAATGCCTCCTTATCTGCAGCCCCATTCATTACACAGGGGCCTGTGACAAGTGTGAAGTTGCCTATGCCATCCTGTGGTGTTCCTAGGCTGGTGGAATTTTCCTCCAGCCTGGAGCAGACTTGTTTGCTGCCAGAGTGGATCCCCAAATCCGTGGTGACTGAATTCCATAGAATACCATAGTCAGGATACAGAGTTTGACTAGGTCAATTAACCTCGTGTGCAACTTTCAAAATGTTTCCTTGCCTGAGTGTGATTTCTAACCTTTCCAGCCATAAAAGGAAAGATGATCTGCCAATAGCTTTACCAGAAACATGATTAACCTAGTCTGCATAAACTTTCAGCTCATGCTTCCTTGGTTGTGCTTGCTGTCCAACCTGAACTGCTGTGTTTCGATGCTGAATCCATCATGATTCTATTGTACTATTTCTTCAGCACAACTCTTTGCAAGTTGCAGAAATAGCGTCAGTCTAAATGAGCTAGAGCTAACAGATTTAACAACAATTGATTTTCATTTAAAGTAGACGTGTTTTCTTGTCCAGTTGAAAGAATATTTACAGCTTGGGTCTTCAAAGTCTGCAGTGTTTATACATGAACTCTTCCCTAATTTTTCACCATAAGAGAGTGGTATAGCACGAGACTGAAAATAGGCAGTTTATGGGCAATGGTTATTGGACCTGACCTCATCTGCTCTGGAAGGTACGGAAGAGAAAGTAATCTGCACCAGATAATGTACTAGAGTGAATTATTTTCTTCCTGGGTCTGGGAGGAAGCAAGGAACTGAGTAGCTATGACTCTGTGTCATAAGTTGGTCCTGGAGAAGCACAACTTTGTATTGCTCCTTCCCCAGGGTTTGTGGCAAATCCACAATCTAGCCATCAATTAGTACTGCTATTAAATTTAAGCTGGTTCTAATATTTATCTAGGCTGAAGATTTAGGGATTCTTTGTATTATGCTGTTTGATTTAACTTGCCATTGGGAATTATAACTTCCAGAAGGATGTGGTATTTAATATTGCAGTGAAATAAGTATTATTAAGCTAGATTGGGTAAAGTGAGTATTCATTATTTATTGGCTTTTGCATGTTATCAAATAGTGCTAATTTACTTTATAAATAGTAATTATAATTGATCTGTGTAATAGTTTTCTATAAACTCTGACAATCAAATGTAATTAGAAATAGATTGTCTGTCTGAATGTCTGTATAACCACTATGCTGGTCACGCAGCTCTGACCCCAGCAGCCTGTCAGCAAACACCAGCCATGCTCTGGCTTCCAGCAGCCTTGGTTACTACTTGCAAAGTAATCCCAATACACCGCCAGTCCTAGATTTCCCCCGCGCTGTGCAGCTCTTTCAGGTCCATTGCCCCTTTAAGGAGATCAACATAGAAACATAAAATCGTAGGATTGGAAGAGACCTCGGGAGGTCATCTGGTCCAGTCCCCTACATTCATGACAGGAGTAAGTATTATCTGCACCATTCCTGACAGGTGTTTGTCTAACCTGCTCTTAAAAATCTCTAATGATGAAGATTCTACAACCTCCCTAAGCAATTTATTCCAGTGCTTAACCACCCTGACCGTTAGGAAGTTTTTCCTAATGGCCAACTTAAACTGCCCCTGCTGTAATTTAAACCCGTTGCTTCTTGCCCTATCCTCAGGGGTTAAAGAGAACAATTTTTGTCCCTCCTCCTTGTAACAGCTATTTATGTACTTGAAAATGGTTATCATGTCCCCCCTCAGTCTTTTCTTCTCCAGACTAAACAAACCCAGTTTTTTTTCAATCTTTCCTCATAGGTCATGTTTTCTAGACCTTTAATCATTTTTGTCTCTCTTCTCTGGACTCTCTCCAGTTGTCCACATCCTTTCTGAAATGTGACACCCAGAACTGGACACAGTACTCCAGTTGAGACCTAATCAGTGCAGAGTAGAGCAAAAGAATTACTTCTTGTGTCTTGCTTACAACACTCCTGCTGATACATCAGAAGGATGTTTGCTTTTTTTTGCAACAGTGTTAAATTGTTCACTCCTATTTAGCTTGAGATTCACTATGACCCCCCAGATCCCTTTCCGCAGTGCTCCTTCCTAGGCAGCCATTTTCCATTTTATATGAGTGCAACTGATTTTTCCTTCCTAAGTGGGGTACTTTGCATTTGTCCCAACTGAATTTCATCCTATTTACCTCAGACCATTTCTCCAGTTTGTCCAGATCATTTTGAATTGTAATCCACCAAAGTACCTGCAACCCCTCCCAGCGTGGTATTGTCGGCAAACTTTATAACTGTACTCTCTATGCCATTATCTAAATCATTGGTGAAGATATTGACCAGAACCAGACTCAGAACTGATCCCTGCAGGACCCCACTCATCGTGCCCTTCCAGTTTCACTGTGAACCAGTGATAACTACTCTCTGTAAATGATTTTCCAACCATTTATGCACCCACCTTATAATAGCTCCATCAAGGTTGTATTTCCCTAGTTGGTTTATGAGAAAGTCATGGAAGACAGTATCAAAACCCTTACAAAATTCAAGACATACCACATTTACCCCCCCACCTCCTGCCCCTCCCACCACAAGGCTTGTTACCCTGTCAAAGAAAGCTGTAAGATTGTTATGACAAGATTTCTTGGCAAATCCATGCTGATTGTCACTTATCTTATTGTCTTCCAGGTGTATGCAAATTGATTGCTTAATTATTTGCTCCATTATCTTTCCGGGTACCGAAGTTAAGCTGACTGATCTATAATTCCCCAGGTTGTCCTTATTTCCCTTTTTATAGATTGGCACTATATTTGTCCTTTTCCAGTCCTCTGGAATCTCTCCCATCTTCCATGACTTTTCAGAGATGATCGCTAGTGGCTCAGATATCTCCTCAGTCAGCTCCTTGAGTATTCTAGGATGTATTTAGGCCCTGGTGACTTGAAGACATGTAACTTGTCTAAGTAATTTTTAACTTGTTCTTTCCCTATTTTAGCCTCTGATCCTTTCTCATTTTCACTGGAATTCATTATGTTAGATGTCCAATTTCACTAACCTTTTTTGTGAAAACTGAAACAAAAAATCATTTAGCATTTCTGCCATTTCCTGTTATTGTGTAATGGGCCTACCCTGTCCTTGGTCTTCCTCTTGCTTCTAATGTATTTGTAGAATGTTTTCTTGTTACCCTTTGTCTCTAGCTAGTTTAATCTCATTTTGTGCCCTGGCCTTTCTAATTTTGTCCCTACATACTTGTGTTATTTATTTATATTCATCCTTTGTAATTTTACCTAGTTTCCATTTTTTGTAGGACTCCTTTTTGAGTTTCAGATCATTGAAGATTTCCTGGGTGGTCTCTTGCCATTCTTCTGATCTTTCTTATACATTGGGATAGTTTGCTCTTGTGCCCTTAATAATGTCTCTTTGAAAAACTGCCAACTCTCTTGAACTGTTTTTCCCCTTGGACTTGCTTCCCATGGCATCCGACCCACCAACTCCCTGAGTTTGCTGAAGTCTGCCTGATTGAAATCCACTATCTTTATTGTGCTCTTTTCCCTCCTACCATTCCTTAGAATCATGAACTCTACCATTTCATGATCACTTTCACCTAAGCTGCCTTCCACTTTCAAATTCTCAACCGGTTCCTCCCTATTTGGCAAAATCAAATCTAGATCAGCCTCTTCACCTTCTGAAATAAGGTGCCTTAAATGGAGTTACCCAAACAATTCACAGCTCTGGATTAGTTTTAATTAAAGAACAAAATAAATGTATTTAACTCCAAAGAGAGATGTTAAGTGAATACAAGTAATGAGTCATTAAAGTCAGAAATGGTTACAAAAGAAATAAAGATAAAACATTTTCTAAATTTAACAAGCTAGACTTGCTTCAAGGTGAAGTTTTACCACAGGTTCCCAATATCATTGCTAACCAACTTTCAGGTCAGGATCTGCTCCCAGAGTCTATAGGCTGTTTTTTTTCTCTCCTTAGGTGGAAAAAGAGAGAGATGGATAGAGAGAGATACTTGGGGTGCTTTTGTCCTACTTTAATAGTTCAGTCACCCTTTGAAATATATTTTCCTGAGAGTTACCCCTAAATAAAGTGCCTTTCAGCTGTGAGGCTTGAGACATGAGACTGTGAAAGAGATTTCATGCTGTTTTCTTCAATGTGGATGTTTTCTTGTCTCCTGTCTTTCCTCTTGTTTCAGGACCCTGTTTACAACTTATATGTGAATTGAGGTAAACATACATTCCTTTGTTTAGGAGCTGCTTGACCAGTCCTGCCTAATCAGGGCTACGTGGGTTTGAACATGTGTCACCAACATCATGCAGGGAAAATTCATAACTTCACATATAACGTTTTCCCATGGTATTACTAACCAGCAAGTTACTCAATTTCAATGATACCTCACAAGGCATATTTTGTACAAAGATTATTACAGTGGTGTATAGGGTGTGAATATAAGGGTGCATTCAGTCACACAGGTGAATTGAATTTAAAGAATAATAATTCTCTTTTATTTCCCCCCTAGATAATATAAAGGGTGGAATTTAAAATATGTGACAAATAATGTCTTATTTTTGTTTATTCTTAACTATTTGAAATTTGCTACTTGCTGTGTGTAGTAACTTCAGGCTTTCTTTACAGAATGGATTCTGGAGAAGGATGGGGTTCAGAGGGTAAAGGGGTAAGGAGGAATGTGTTTTCTCATGAGTGATTTGAAACAATGACACTAGTAAGCGAGCATCTCATTGACTGATGTTGCTTAACTGTAGAAA